GTAGTCGGGTAGTGGTTACAGCCAGGTAATGAGGGAGACCCAGTGATGCGCTGGCTTCAGGTCTGACCCAGCAAGGCCCCAGTGGTGGTGGCCACAGGGGGGATTGTGTCACCCCACCTGCAGCTCCAGGTGTCTCAGCACAGAGAGAGATGAAGAGCAACAGAGAGCAAGACAGAACGAGAGCAAGAGCGAGAAATGGGGGGGAGGGGTGCGGAAGAGGGAGAGATAGAGAGAGAGACAGAGAGAGAGAGAGAGAGACTTTGTTTGGGAGAAATAAGGGAAGAAAACAAGAGTCTCTGTCTGGTAACTCAGAGAATTCCGGATCTTATCCAAGACCACCAAGGCAGTACCTCTATAAGCCTGCAAGGAACACAGTGTTACTGGGCTTGGGGTAACCCCTAATGCAGATACACTTAGACTACGATACCCAGCTCCCTTTGAATATCTGGAAAGGCTTCTGAAGAAAGATGGGTACAAAGAAGCCCAGACTGCAAAGACTACAATGAATACCTAACTCTTCAATGCCCAGGTACTGATGAATATCCACAAGCATCAAGACCCTCCAGGCCAACAGGACCTCACCAAGTGAACTAAATGAGGCACCAGGGTCCAGGCCTGGAGCAACAAAGATATGTGACCTTTGAGGCAGGTAATTCAAAATAGCTGTTTTGAGGCGAATCAAATAATTTCAAGATAACACAGACAGGAAATTCAGAAATCTATCAGATAGACTTAACAAAGAGATTGCAATACTTAAAAGAAATCAAGCAGAAATTGTGGAGTCGAGGATGCGGTTGGGAGGGTGGAGCACGATGGCGAAACGGAAGCCTCCATTGGTTGTTTATCCTGCAGGAAAACAAAATTTTAACAACTAAATACACACACAAAAAGACTGTGTAAAAAACTAATAACTGTGACCACTTTTCAAGACATAGACAGTACCAAGAGACATAAAGAAAAATGATAAAAAGTTAAAAAGTGGGTGAACGCCAAAGAACTATAAATTGTTCTACTGCAAAGACACATGCACACGTATGTTCATTGCAACCCTGTGTACAATAGCAAAGACCTCGAACCAACCCAAATGCCCCTCAGTGATAGACTGGACAAAGAAAATGTGGTACATATACACCATGGAATACTACGCAGCCATAAAAAACGATGAGTTCGTGTCCTTTGTAGGGACTTGGATGAATCTGGAAACCACCATTCTCAGCAAACTGACACGAGAACAGAAAGCCAAACACCGTATGTTCTCACTCATAGGTGGGTGTTGAACAAGGAGAACACATGGACTCAGGGAGAGGAACATCACACACTGGGGGCAGTTGTGGGGGTAGGGGAGAGACAGTAAGGGGTGGGGAGGGAGGGGAGTGTGGGGAGGGATAACATGGGGAGAAATGCCAGATATAGTATGCACCTAAAGTAAAATAAATAAAATTTTTTTTAAAAAAGTGGGTGAATGAAGTTAAAGTGTAGATTCTTTTATTAGTTATCTTTTGACTTATTTGTTTGTGTATACAACCAGTGCTAAGTTGTCATCAGTTTAAAATAATGGGTTATAAAATAGTATCTGGAAGCCTCATGGTAACCTGTGGAAAAACAGAAAATGGATATGTAAACAATAAAAAGCAAGAAATTAAATTGCACCACCAGAGAAAGTCATCTCCTCTCAAAGGAAGACAAAAAGGAAAAGGAAACAAGGACTACGAAACAACTAGAAAGGAAATAAATTGGCAGAATCAAGTCCTTATTTATCAACAGTAACGCTGAACGTAAGTGAATTAAAAGCTCCAATCAAATAGCATAGAGTAGCTGAATAAATATTTTTTAAAACCCCAATGATCACCTATAGAGACAAACATGGACTGAAAATAAGAGGAAGGAAAGAAATATTCCATGCTAATGGAAACCAAAAAAGAGAACCAGTAGCTATACTTCTGTCAGACAAAACAGATTTCAAGACAAAGACTGTAAGTAGAGATAAAAAAAAAAAAAAAGGTCATTATGATAAAAAGTTAAAAAGTGGGTGAATGAAGTTAAAGTGTAGATTTTTTTATTAGTTATTTTTTTTGCTTGTTTGTGTATACAATCAGTGCTAATTGTCATCAGTTTAAAATAATGGGTTAGAAAATAGTATCTGGAAGCCTCATGGTAAATAGTATCTGGAAGCCTCATGATAAAGAGGTCAGCTGAGCAAGAAGATATAACAATTGTAAATATATATGCACTCAACACTGGAGCACCCAGATATATAAAGCAAATATTACTAGAGCTAAAGAGAGGGATAGACCCCAATACGATAATAGCTGGAGGCTTCCACATCCCACTTTCAGCATTAGAGAGATCTTCCACACAGAACATCAACAAAGAAACATCAGGCTTAATCCGCACTGTCGAGCAAATGGATCTAATAGGTATTTAGAGAACAGTTCATCCAACGGCCGCAGAATACACATTCTTTTCCTCGGCACATGGATCACTCTTAAGGACAGACCATGTGAGGTTACAAGTCTTCAAACATTCAAAAAATCAAAATTATATCAGACATCTTCTCTGACCACAGTGGAATAAAACTAGAGATGAAAAACTGCAGACATTTTTGAAACTATACAAATACATGGAAATTAAACAGTATGCTCCTTAATGGCCGGTGGGTCAGTGAAGAAATTAAGAAGGAAATTTAATAGTTTCTTGAAATGGATGATGATGGAAATATAACATACCTAAACTATGGGATACATCAAAAGCAGTGCTAAGAGAGAAGAGCATATCTAAAAGCATCTACATCAGAAAGGAACAGAAATTTCAAGAAGAACTAATACAATCCTACTCAAACATTTTGAGAAACAGAGGAGGCAGGAATACTTCCAAACTCACTCTACAAGGACGGTATTACCCTGATGCCGAAAACCAGACAAAGACATACTAAGAAAAAAAAAAAAGAAGAAGAAAAGAAAAAGAAAAAAGAAAGCTACAGGCCAGTTTCTCTGATGAATATTGATGCAAAAATCTTTAGCAAAATATCAGCAAACCGAATTCAGCAATACATTCACAATTTGACTTCTTTCTTTCTTTCTAATTTGGGTGCCTGTTATTTCTTTCTCTTGTCTGATTGCTCTAGCTAGGACTTCCTGCACCAGGTTGAACAAAAGTGGTGAACGTGGACGTCTTGTTGTGTTCCAAATCTTAGAGGAAAGACGTTCAGTCATCATCAAGATCAAGTGGGATTTATACCAAGGATCCAAGGACGGTTCAACATATGCAAATCAATCGATGTGATACATCATATCAGCAGAATGAATGATAACAACCATACGATCATTTCCATTGATGCTGAAAAAAGCGTTTGATAAAATTCAAAATTCCTTCATGGTGAAAGCCCTCACAAAACTGGGTATAGAAGGAACATACAGACCCACAGCTCTCCCTCACCCCTCACTATCCTTTCCAGCCTCTGGTAATTATCCTTCCACTTATTTGCACATGACATGATCTTGTATTTGCAAAAACCTAAGGATTCCAACAATAAACTATTTGAACTGATGAACAAATTCAGGTAAGTTGCAGGATACAAAATCAACACACAAAAATCAGTAGCATTTCTATATGCCGACAGTGAACACTCTGAAAAAGAAATCAGGAAAGCAGTCTCATTCACAACAGCTACAAATAAAATAAAGTACCTAAAGGATTTGTTATTTATTCTAGTCTACTCTGGCTTGTTTGGAAATTTATGTTTGCTTAGAGATTCTGCGTAATTTACCTGTTGAATGTCTTATTTATTTTCTGCTAGGCAATTGCCTCCTTTACAGCATTAGATGGTGCCTTAAGCCCAAGTTTGTCTCGCCTAAGCGAACGATCAGACTGCCGGCCATCCAGAATGGGGGAGGTCCCAAAGGTGTTATCTCGGCAGTGTGGAAGAGCTAGCTGGCTAAGGGTCCGTGCCCAGGGGGCCCCGTGGAACATACCACCTACAGTGTGGTGCTACTGAACAGCCGTTCTCATTTGGCATCTCCTTTGGCTGAGTTACAGAGCAGAGGCTCCAGGGCTGAGGACGATACTTCTGCCTCCCCGTTTTGTGTCTGGCTGTCCTCAGGGATGTTTCTCCCCTCAGGCACTCACGATGCTTCCTGTGGGTTGAGTCAGGAACAGGTGTCCTGCCAGGGACCCCGAGATGGTGGGGAAGCTGACCTTTCACCTCAGAATCACTTCTTCCATGTAGAAACCATGAGTTGGTTGGGTGCGGTAGCTCATGCCTGTCATCCTAGCACTTTGGGAGGTCGAGGCCAGGGGATGTCCTGAGGTCAGGGTTTGAGACCTGGTCAACATGGTGAAACACCATCTTTACTAAAAACACAAAAATTAGCCGGGAGTGGTGGTGCACGCCTGTAATTCCAGCTACTCGGGAGGCTGAGACAAGAGAACCGCTTGAACCCGGGAGGCGGAGGTTGCAGTGAGCTGAAATCACGGCATTGCGCTCCAGCCTCGGCAACAGAGTGAGACTCCGTCTCAATAAAACAAAACAAAACAAAACGAAATAAAACACCACAGACCTCTCTCCCCACACACAATAACCTTGAATGGTGTCTGCATTGCTCCTGTCTTTGTTCAATACCCGGTCTCTTGGTTTTGGGAGCTGGCAGAATCTACACACACCTCCTCACTGGGACCGGAATCTGTGTCCATGTCTCACGCCCACCCAGCCCGGAATTCCGGCTGAAGGAAGGAGGCCATCCCAACTGTCAGGGTGGCTGAAGGCAGAATAGGGAGCTCAAGGAAATCTCGGGTGACCTCTAGAGGCAGCCTGGAAGACTGAGCAGGGACACGGAAATACCATGTCCACAAAAACCTGGGGCCTTGGGGGTGGTGGAACGGTATTTGATGGTGACTATGGAAGAACAGTCATGCCTAGTATCCACACCTGCCCTGGAAAGCAGGTGGCCATTTTCAAATCAAGGGTATGGAGTCGACCGGCTGCAGAAGGGGCTGTTGGCCGCCTATAGGACACCAAGGATGTGGAAGCCGCCTTTCGTGTAGCTGCTGGCAGGCAGTTTCCACCAGGTTGGCCCGCAGGCTCCAGAACAGACCATTGCCCCCACCTCCAACCAAGAGACTACCCGCCCTTTTCTTCCGAGCTCCCTGTGCCTTCCCTTTTGCTTGGCCACCCACCGGGATGTGGCTTCTGCCTCCACCTGGCTACTGAAGCTGAGGAAGAGACCTGACGGGATTTGGTAACTGAGGTTCAAAGGTGACGGCCGAGAGAGGAACTGAGGATGCCGCGCGGGTTCCTGGCCCAGATGACCTGTGTGCGCGCGGTGGAACCGGAGGGACAGAATGGCTCCAGAAGGAGGACTGGGCCCCTGAAGGGGAGGATGGGCTCTGCCGTGTTCCTCGACAGCACGGAAATAACCCTGCAGGAAAGGCCACCGGCGTCAACCCACTGGGGAGAGCAAGGATGCTCATGACGGAAAGGACAGTGACAGGGCAGAACCGGGACAGAGTGAACCACAGGAGGAAAGACAGGAGTCACCGGGGTTCTGGAAGGAGGCCTTCAGTGCCTGCTGAAGGCGAGGGAGAACAGTGCTGAAGAAGGGGACTTGTGAGACCCCAAAGCAGGAGGAGAAGAGGAGGGACCATGAGCAAGGCGTGTAGGGGAAAGGCAGGAAATGTTGCTGTGGCCGGGCAGGACTCCCAAAGCACCTGGACCCAGAGCACTATGGTGACTGGAGGGCTGCTGCGCAGAGGCCGGTCCAGGCAAGTCGCAGGGAGAGGGCCCACCGCAGAGCTCCAGGGAAACTGTTCTTCCAGCGCCAGGGAACGGAGCAACACTCCCCGCCGCCGCCCCCACCCCTCCCCCCCCACCCCCGCGCCCAGCCCTCCAACAGTTGCAGAGAGGGCAGACCACAGACCACAGAATATGAGAATGACTTTATTTGAAACTGCTGTGAACTGCGGTGGGAAGAGGGCAAACGCAGAGGAAGAGAGGAAGCCTTGGCTGAAGAGGATTCGGAGGGAACCAGCTTGGCTGCAGCTCAGGGGCTCCAGAGGTAGCAGCTGCACATCTTGTAGGAAGACGCTGGCTCCATCCTGTGAAACAGAGCAGGTTCAGGGAGAGGCCCCCAGCCAGGACCAGCACACAGCCCTCCTAAGCTACCGGGATTGCGGGAAGGGGAATGGCGTGTCCAACACTCACTTCAAAAGTCCTGAGACTTGTCAACGAGGCACTGCATGGCCACTGAAACAGAGAGGCAGAACTGGGCTCTCCAGGCCCAGGGAAAGAGAAACCCACCCCCTGCCCACTTGGGGAACCGCCTAACCCTGCAACCTGAAACCCCAGCGGCCCTGGGACTGACTAGCCCACCGGTCACCTGAAGCTAAGGTGGAAATGCCTTCTAAGCGGGAAAGTGGTTCTCAGGTGTTGGGGCATCCCAGAACCATTCAGAACGTGTTTCCAAGACAGATACGCCAGCCACCAAGCAAAAACCGCACAAGCCCTACCAGGCAGCGGTTAAAGGGAGAACACGTGGTATCTCTAATGGCCCTAAGAGAAGGAGATCTCTGGGACGCGTGGACAAAGTGTACATGGAGTTCAGACGACCCTTGCTGTCTGTGCACACCCCAGCTGGAAAGGCACGGAAGGCTCCAGGGCCAGGCCTGCTTGGTTCTCTTCCCCAGGGGAAAGTCAGTCCCGGTGATGCGGCCTGCACCTGCACCCCAGCCCCACCCTCGGCACCTGCAGAAAGACAGCGCTGCCCATCCCTGCCCCAGCCAGGGCTCCGTCATACCTAGTTGCTCCCTAAGGTCCTCAACTTCCCTCTGCAGCCAGACACACTAGACCGCCAGACACGGGAGGAAGAGAAATGGTCACGGGAGGAAGAGAAATGGTTGGTCAGCTCTGGTCCCCTCTCTCCCTGTCCTCCCTCTCTCCCCCAGCCCTTATAGCACCCAAAGCCTGCAGCCCGGTGGTGAGGCAGATTAGCACAGAACCCTCAATGGAAAGGAGGCACGCACTCTCCGTGGGGTATGGAAGGAGAAGGGGGTGGGGGAAGACACCAAAACCAATTTAACCTGGCCACGGGTCCCACCATCTAGTGTGGACCTGGATTTCTGGGAGCCACACAAAGCATTACCCGAGGACAGCCTGGGACTCCCGGGGGCGGCTGCTCCCTTTCCGGTCTTGGGGGACGGACAGGCCGCCGATGGTCACCTGAAAGAGAACACAAAATCCAGCTTCCAAACCTCCCAGTGAGGTGGAAAGGGCCTAGAAGGGTCTAAGGTGAGGCAGCATCACCTTGTGTTGGCAACACGTTGCCCAGCAGCTCCAACCCTCGCCCTCCCAGTGGGACTGCCTTCCCTGTTCCCCAGTGTGAGCCCATGTGCACCTATGGCCCCCTAGCATTGTGGCTCCTGGCAGGATGCCAGCAGCGGGGCCGCCACAGCCAGGCCCTGGGAGGGGCAGTGTGGCCGAGCAGGACTTAACAGAAAAGGGCTCAGTGCCGCTGAAAGTCTCCTTCCAGAGTTGGAGTCTGGGGTGCTGCTCCAAATCGCCCCCCACCGCACAAATCCCACTCAGAGAGGACCATGTGGCTTCAGGCCAGCCCAGTAGACACCCCATTTCCCCTGGGACAGCTGCCTGGCTGGGCAGGGACGCCTGGGAGCAAGGCTGAGCTTCCAGAAGAGACAGAGCTAGAGGCTTCCCTCCCTAACCCCTCTCCCCTCCACCCCTATCAAACCCACAAGACTCACGGGGTCTGGGCACGAGACGTCTCACGCTCAAGGCCGAGGGCTGTGAGGTTCCTGGAACTTGGGGAGCTCTGATGGCGGGGTCCCCACTGCTGCATTCTCCACGAGGCATGGACAGGGAAATCACGTCTGGCTTGTGTGTGGGAAGCTGAAACAACAATTTCTGAGTGGGGCTGGCGGTAAGTACACGTGAGGAGGGGTTGTGTTAAGGTGGGGACTCCAGACTAATCTCATTAGCACTTTCTCCCTCAGTCAGCCCCACGACAGGAGGGCTTGCGCAACAGCTAGGGAAGGAGGAATTGGGAAGAGGATGAGTCTAGAGGCCCAAGCTTTGCGGCCCACACTTTCAGGGGTCCCCCGATTCAAACCAGCTTCTCTCTGGGGTAGGAGCCTTCCATCCCAGCTCCTCCTGGGGGAGGAGGCAGAACAACTGCAGTGTCCAGAGCCGGGCCTGGCACACACCGAGTGCCGCCTTTAATGTGTGCCCCTACGAGGAGGACCCCAATCGGGCCTCCTAGTGTCCCTGGGCTCCCGATGACAACCCTCGAGCAAGGGATAGAGGAGGCATGGGTAAAGAGGTGTGTGCTGGAAGAGAGGTGGGCCACGGGGAGACAGAGGAGGAAGAGGAGGAGGAGAACAAGGAGGAGAAGGAGGAGTGCGGCAAAGAGGACCTACTCACTTGGGCCCCTGGGACCTCATCTCTATTCGTGTCATTATCTTCTCTGGCCGCAGCCTGGGACTCTCTGGTTTTTCTTCCCGCAGATTTCTTCCCAGGGCTGCAGTGCTTGAGCTCCTTGGGTCTCCCGGACTTCCCCAGGAGACCCACACCAGAGACTGGCGGAAAGCTGGCCGGATCCTGCGGAATTGTTGAACGTCTCTGCCCCCAGGCAGGAAAGGCTCCCTCCGGGGCCCGTTTTGGCTCACCCCCTAGGGATTTCTTGTCCTGGGCCACCTTCCTTCCTGGAGAGCCCCGGGGCACTGGCCCTGTAACGGCAGCTCCTGAGCAGCTGGGCCTGACCCCCACCTTTCCCCAGGCCGTGCTCCGCATTTTCTTCGAGGAAGACGCGTCCAGCTTTCCCACGGCGGGCCCCTCCACGGCTGGAGTGAGTCTGTGGGGAGCAGAGGTCAGGAGAGGGTCCTGAACTTGACGGTTGCTCTCCCTGCGGTGGAAACTCGGGAGTCTGCAAGTGTCTGCTGGCTTCTTGGGGCTTCCGGGCTTGCCCTGAGAATCAGACTCGTGGGTAGACAGCCTGGAGGGGCCTTTCTCGGAGGGCTGCTGGGGATCCACTTGGACACTCTGTCTGCTCTTTGAGCCCCTTTCCAGGTTCTCCCAAGCTGGGCCTGTCCCATGACCACTGAGGTAGAGAGAGCCGATGGAGACCTGTTGCCGTTTTCCAGGGCTATGGCCCAGTGCGCCTCTCCCGCCAGGACCAACCTTCGGGTCCGTCCAAATGTTAGCAGACCCTTTGTCAGCAGCGACTTCTAAGGACGGGTGTCTCTGGATGCTGGGTGGTGGCATGATGGCGGCTGGCTCCTCTGCTGGGTAGGAAGAGTAGTCCACACCATCCCCTTGGTCCTTGACCGGGTCCCAGGCCTGCCTCCCTGACCCAAGAGCACCACCCTTCCCTACTCTATCATTTCACTCTCAGACTCGAAGCTGAAGCCCTCAGGATCTGTGAACCTGCTCTCGCCCTTGCTGCTGCGCGGCATGCCAAAATCCAGGTCACGGCCATGGCCCGGTGGGGCTCCAGGCCTGGTTGTGTGGGCACCAGCTGGCTGGCCACCCTCCAGGTTAAAACCAGTCCCCCAAACTGACACCTCATCAGGGAAGTTCATGGCGCCAGTCCGGGCAGCCTGGGCTGTAGGGAGACGGTCGTCCTGATAATGGTGGGAAGGGAGAATGGAACCCAGCCTTCGGGACACCACTACCCTCACCACAGGCGGAAATAGGAGATGTCCCCGACAGTGCACGGCTTCCACGCGCCAGCTATACCTGAGCCACATCTTCTCATTGGTCCCCCCTTTGCCAACCAGCGTGCCTTTTGTTGGACAAGACCTCTGGGCTTTAACCAGTAGGGATGTAGACTCTTGGATTGCCCCGACGCCCATGGTTTGACTGGGTGGGTGTACTTGGGTCGTGTCTTGGGGCAAGTGTGCACTGGAGCTCTCAATCTACCTCTTTTTTCCTGTCCTGCCACTTCTAACCGGGCACCTACTTTCCAATGAGAGCCATGTCTCTGATCCTTCGTGTCCCGTCTGTAAGATGGGGGTGGAGGGGAGAGCCACCCCCAGCACATCAGCTTGGGAGCTTAAATGTCGTGATGCACGTGAAGCACCCCGAGCACAGAGGAGCTGCAAGCCTCCATTCCACACCAAGAGCTAGCACCGGATAGGAACATGGACAGGGAGGCCCACAGTCAAGAAGCAGGGGTTTTAGTGCTGCGAAAAACACCATTGTTGTTTTCCTGGGAACTCACTGTGTTGAACCTGTAATGGCTTTCCGTAGCATGGAGGTGTTAACCATCTTCCTGTCCATGACCACGGGAAGTGTCTCCATTTGTTAGTCTTCTATGTGTTTCATCAGTGTTTGACTGGTTTCAGTGTGCACACCTTTCACCCCCCTGGATAAATGTGTTCCAATGTGTTTTATTCTTGTCCTGGTATTCTAAATACGTTGGTTTCCCGGGTGTCTTTTTTTGATAGTTTGTTTTTAGGGCATAGAAATGCCAGTGACTTTTGCATGTTGCTTTTCCATTCTGCAACTTTGCTGACTTTGTCTACCGGTTTTGATCGTTTTTTTTGTTTGTTTGTTTTTTTTTTTGGTGCAGTGTACATTAGGGTTTTCTCTCTGTGAGATCATGTCATCTGCAAGCATAGATAATTGAGCTTCTTATTTTCTAATTTGGGCACCTTTTATTTCTTTTTCTTACAATACATGATCAAATCGGCATGAGGCTGTGTCCCGTGTGTGTGTGTGTGTGTGTGTGTGTGTGTGTGTGCAGGCATACGAGCCAGCGCCCATGTATGCCCTCGCTTGAGAATCAAATTAATTGGGGTGCTCTCCCTTGAGGGAGAACGGGCTGATTCATGGAGTGAAGGATCTGTAAGGCTCCAATGCGCCAAAGGAGTACTAGGATGTACCTTAAACAAGAGGTGTTTTTCAATTCTAAAACCTAGGAGGGTGTGGAGTCGGACAGCAACATGCCGATTTGATTACCTATTCTAGGAAAAAAAAATAAAAAGCAAGCAAATTGGAAACTAAGAAGCTCAATTTTCTCTAGTTGCAGGTGACAGGATCTCACATAGAGAAAACCCTGATGGACACAGCACCAAAAAACGGTCACAACCAATAAACAAAGTCAGCAAAGTTACAGAGTGCAAAAGTAACATGTGAAAATCACCCTCATTTCTATGCCCGAACAACAAACTATCTGAAAAACACACCCAGAAAACCAGCGTATTCTTAGAATGCCAGGACAAGAATAAAACCTTTTGGAATACGTTTACCCAGGGAGGTGAAAGGTGTGCACACTGAAACAGATTGAACACTGATGAAACACGCAGAAGACCAATAAATGGAGACACATCCTGTGTTCATAGATGGGAAGATGCTTAACACGTTTATGCTACCCAAAGCTGTTACAGGTTCAGTGCAGTGAGTCCTTAGGGAAACGACAATGGTGTTTTTACAGCACTAGCAGAAACAACCCTAAAACTCCTGCTTCTTGACTGTGAGCCTCCCTTCCCATATTCCTATCGGGTGCTAGCTCTTGGTGTCGAACAGAGGCTTGAAGCTCTTCTGTGTTCCTGGTGCTTCACAGGCATCTTGAAGAGGGCCGTCACCAGACACTGAATCTGCCAGCACCTTTACCTTGAACTTCCCAGTCTGCAGAACTGTGGGAAATAAACAGTTGTTCTTTAAGCTATCCAGTCTATGGTACTCTGTTATAGCAGCCTGAACTAAGATACTAATCATCAGGGAAATGCAAATCAGAACCACAATATCACCTCACCCCTGTTGGCATGGCCATTATTAAGAAAAAAAAAAAAAAAAACAATAAAGAAATTGGAACCCTTGTGCACTAGTGAGGATGTGAAATGGTACGCCCACTATCAAAAACACTATGGGACTTTCTCCAAAATTTGAAAATAGAACTACCCAAATATGGTCCATCAATCTCACTTCTGGGTATATATCCAGAAGACCTGAAAAAATATCTTGAATATAGATTTGCACACCCATGTTCATGGCAGCATTATTTACAATAGCCAGGAGGTAGAAATAACCTGACTCTCCCTTAATAGATGCATGGAGTTTTACAATGTGGCGCATACATACAATGAAATATTATTCGGTCTTTTAAAAAGGAAAATCCTGTCACATGATACAACATGAATGAAACTTCAGGACATTATGCTAAATGAGAGAAACCAGTCACAAAAAGAAAAACATTGCATAATTCTAGTTATGTGAGGTACTTTAAAAAGTCAAACTCTTAGAAACAAATATAAAAGGGTGATTTCCAGGGACTGCGGAGAGCAGGGGAAAGAGGAGTTGTTGTTCAGTGGGTGAAGAGTTTCAGTTTTGCAGAATGAAAAGGGATCATTTGCACAATAAAGTTAATATAGTTAACACTACTGTACTGTACACTTAAAAATGATTAAGATGCTGCATTTTATGTTACTTTTTTACCACAATCAAAAAAGTTCTATCCAGAGAAATTAGGTAAGAAAAAAACCCAAAAGGCATTCAAACTAGAAAGGGAGTTGTAAAATTGTCTCTGTTCACAGGTGACACAATTCTATACAAAGAAAATCTGAAAGAATCTACAAAACCATTACTAAAGCTAATAAACAAATTAATACACAAATTCAACAAGGTTGCAGAGAATAGGATAGATCAAAAGGCAAAAATTATAAAAATACTGTATGATTCCATTTATATGAGGTACCCAGAGCAATCAAATTCATATTGACAGAAAGTAGAATGCTGTTTGCCAGCATTTGAGTGGGGGAAGAGGAAATGGGGGTTATTTCATGGGTATATAGTTTCAGTTTGGGAAGATGAAACAACTTGTAGAGATTGATCGTGGTGATGCTTGTACAGCAATGGGAATGTAGTTACTACTACTAGACTGTATGCCTAACAATAGCTAAAATTGTAAACTTGTTTGTAACAAGAAAACAGATTTGCTGATTTTAAGAGAAAAGACACTACTTTGTTTTGAAAAAGACAAGAAAGCTAGCCCGAGTACACATCTGAAATACTCAGAAATCCTACTCATATCTTCAATATGTTCCAATCATTTGTTTAAACAACACACTAAAAATTAATAAATATTTTTATACTTCCAAAAGTCTCACATTTATTGTACAATGCAAATCACCCACAAACTATTATTTAGCTCATGCCAATTTTGCAAAGATATGGTTTACAAAAGATTTAGCACTTCTCACAAAAGTCATATCAGGAAATACATATTTACAAAACCAAATGCATTATACAAAAAAAAAACCCATCACATTATTCAGTAAACATGTTTTTAAATAATTAAAAAGTTTATTCTGCTGGGCACAGTGGTGGCTCACACCTGTACTCCCAGCACTTTGGGAGGCCGAGGACGGTGGATCACCCAAGGTCAGGAGTTCCAGACTAGCGTGGCTAACGTGCTGAAACCTTCTCTTTACTAAAAATACAAAAATTAGCCAGGCGTGGAGGCGGGTCCCTGTAGTCCCAGCTGCTCTGGAGGCTGAGGCAGGAGAATGGCTTGAACCTGGGAGGCAGAGG